CATCGAAATACCCTTTTATTTGAGTAACTTTTGCTCCAGTTGCTAAACTGCAACATCAAGCATTGAACAACCACAACTTCGCAACTCTTATTAAAATTTGAAATGGAAAACCATCCTCAAACTAAAACGAGTAATTAAGTTGTTTGAAACTAGTGAAGTCAGCCATACTTATTATTTAATATGTTTCGGTTATAAAGAAATATTTCCCAGACTTTGAATGAAATTCCCTGACAATCGCTAATTTTCCATGTCCAAAAAGGAATTCCCTGATTTTCCAGGTTTTTCCATTAGTCGACACCCTGTTTTTATACTGCAATGCAAAAGAATGCCGTTACCGAGTGTTTCCGGACAAAGAAGCTTTCAAAATTTCCCGAAAAGTGTTTGTTTTGGCAGGCCATATGTAGTTGCGGCTGGAAATCCAAAAGTTTCATCTCTACCGGCACTATCAATGTGTACGAGAAAGAATGTTTGCAAATGCGGTTGCTGTCATTCATCAGAAGCCTCGACACTCCAGCTCAGTTTTGGCCTGATTTGGCCTCTTGTCACTATGCAAAATCCATCCTGGAATGGTATAATGCATAAGAGGTCAAATACGTGCCAAAAACAGCCAATCCGCCAAACTGTCCAGAACTCCGCCCATTAGAAAGGTACTGGGCTCTGGTTAAATGGAAACTATTCGAAACAAAGATGAAAGCAAATGGCATCAATGATTTCAAGAGGAGGCATGCCGCCACTACGGTATCTGAGGATACTGTACGGAACCTGATGGCGGGTATTTCGCAGAAAGTTCGAGAATTTTACAGACAAAAGAATTAGCATTCAAATAAGCTACGTTTGCTATTGATATAAGTCTACTTTACTGAAATAAACAATCGGTTTTGTTGTATTACGTGTAGATTTTTTCCCGACATTATCTTAGTGTCCGAAAATTAAACGCGCTCCATCTTAAAAGATTGTAAATTGTCATCTACGAGTACTGCTTTAAATTAGCCATCTTTTCTTATTGTTACAAAATCACGCTGCCCAGGCGATGCCCGGCTGGTTTCATCGTCTTCAAAAAACTGCAGAACAAGTTGCTTTGTATCATCACTCAATCTACTGCCTAACTTCGAAGTAATAGTGGAGTATACACCTTTATCGTTTAAGAGTTCTTTAACTATTTTGTTTGTATTAATTCTGCGTGAAGTTATTTTTATATCTTTACTATCGAGATTTTCAGCCGCAGGCTGGTTCATATCCCGTTTAATGGTAACAGGGAAATGCGTTTGAAAGATCCAGTGAAGTTATTTTTATATCTTTACTGTCGAGATTTTCAGCCGCAGGCTGGTTCATCTCCCGTTTAATGGTAACAGGAAATGCGTTTGAAAGATCCAGTGAGGCCCCCCTTGACAATTTAATAATTAATAGTTACAGTAGTTAGTTCATGGCAAATTACATATTATAAAAATGTAAAAGCAAAATCGTAATCTGTTAAACGTTGGCAAATGTGGGTTGCTGTGATGATAACAATATTGATGTTAGGAGAATAGTCCGTTAGGTGTTTGCAGGATGATCAGTTATGAAATGGCAAGTCAAGTCTCATAGCGTGGACAGAAAATAAGTTTTTCAAATTTGTGTGTAGAGTTCGGTGTCTTTCAGGAAGCACAGCAAGGCAGATTCGTATGAGGGACCGTTACTTAGAACGTCTCGCACTTCAGCGTGGATACCATACAGGCGTCGATGATCCTCATACTTGGGACAATTCACAAGTATGTGTTGTACTGATTGTTCTGTCTGGCATATATCGCACCGTTTGTGCCTGTCTGGTACTATGGAATAATCGTGGGTAGTGTGACCCGTTCTTAGACGCGATAGGGTTCGTTGGTCTTTCCAGCGGGGCTGATCGGTCCATTTCTTGATGTCACTTTTCACCTTTCGCAAAAATATCCATCTTTCTTGTTGCCAGCTTCGGGCCCAAGCATCTAGGATGATCGCTTTAACCCATGTTTTGACGTCGTCAGCTGGCGTTTCATTGGTATACAAACTTGACTCCCGACCGACAGACGCCAGATGGTCAACGGTTTCGTTTCCAGCTATTTCGCAGTGTCCGGGTATCCAGGCAAATCGAAGGTTGTTATTAGCCGCATTGTGTATAGCTTAGATCCACGGGTGCCGATTCTTGTAAGACTCGAGCGCCGAAAGTACACTTGCTGAGTCGGAGAGGATTGCCGTAGGACAAGATGAAGCTCCAGAGGTAGCTAAAAATATGGCGACAGCTTCGGCTGTGAACACGGAACAGGTATCAGATAGGCGATAAAAGTAAGTTATATTGGGACCGGTTACCCCAATTCCCACGTGACCAAGTCTTTAGAGCCGTCGATGAATATAAGTTGGCGATTGACAAGTTTGATAGAAATGAATTGTTGGTATGCTTTGTGGAGATGAATAGAGTTTTCTCCAGCTCTGAAGTTCCTTTTCATTGTCCAGTCGATGTTCAATTAAGGAGAGTTCCAATCTCTGTCTCCTACCCAGTGAGCCTCAGAAACTGGAGGGAGCTCTTGATTGGTCAGATATTGAAGGAGCTTGTTCGCCTCCGTGAGGAAGAACACTCCCTCATTCTCACCAATGGTGCGTTCAAGAAAGCTAACTGCTTTTGAACAGGTAGCGATGGTCATCAGATGCCTGAAGGGAATTACCGCAGGAACCGAATCCGGGACTGGCAGTTCTCTCTAACTGCTGTGAAATGTGGCTTAAAACTAGATGCTAATTTCAAATATGTAACAGATTTAAGTGGAGATGAAAGTATAGAGTTGACAGTTCCGTTAAATTACGGCAGTGTGAAAATTGTATGTAGAGAGTAGAAAGCGAGGTCAACATTGAGTACAATACTCGAATAGACACTGAAGAAGTCTGCACATTGTAGACGAAATACGCGTATCTGTCATTGATAACCAAATAAGGTAGTGGAATTAAATGTAAATTACTAATCCAGCTTTCTCTCTCTCTTTATACAGGTATTCCATTAAGATGCCCACATTCATCAGGAAGATGATTGGTGTTTTGAAAGAATATCTACAATCTTCTCCAACACCAAAAGCGAAGCAAAATCTTTAGAAATTTGCAGTGGTCAGAAATAACATTCTTAAATTCTTTCGGAGGAACAAATGGACAAAATCCGTCGTTAGAATAAAAAAAGAAAAAGGTATTAAAACAGACAGACACTAAGGGCCAAACAAGAAGTTTAAAAAAACTGATCATTGGGAACGTATATCTGGGATAATTCCAGTGGGAGTTTAAGAAAACAAACTCCACGAACAAAAAATCAATGAAATTCTCACACATATACAATTATAACGTATTGCAGAAGAAAATTTAATGTGTTTTAGGGAGGTAGTCTAACGAAATCAGGGATGTTCTATTCATGAAAGATGTATTGAAATATGGCATTGAATTTACTAAGAAGAACTCCGATTATTCAGCAACAAAAGTTAAAACTTCCAGCAAAATAAAAAAAACTCCAAGGGCCACTAGCGTGTCCTAAGAAATAACATAATCCTTCACATCAAGATTTTAGTAATATTTAGTTCACATGGTTTTCGATTTTATAAGAAATTTCGCAACTCACAGCTTGTTGGTTTCGTTATCTCTCTGAATTAATTGGAAAGTATTCTATAATTGTCCAACCCACTTAAAACTAAGTCTTTCCAATCCAAACAGGAAGCTTAACTACGACGATGAGAAGCATCCAACAACGCTATGAATCATATTCCATTATTCTCCTTCCACCCTACAAACACTCCACTTGTCGGGTAAACGAATTATCCCCTGCGCTGCGGTTAAGCATTTGGATTCTAGGTATACGACAGTTTGCCTGGCTCGGATTCCACTGAAGCTTGATGGAAAACAAACAGGCATGCCATAATGAAATAATACTGTAGTAGTGAAACAACTACAGTACACATTTGGCAAAGCCATATAAATTCTCTATCGCACATACGATACACCTACCGGCGATGCCATCGTTTTCCCATGATTGCAAAAATTTACATTGCAACGCTAAAAACTGTGTCGTGAAACAACAACCATAATACGTAGGCCACCTATCGACATTTTAAATTGAAGTTGTTCAACTTTTCAACGCTTTGCTATGGTATTAACTACTGATAACGAAGGCTGATACACGTTTCATACAATGGCCATACACGTTCTTATCGGAAACAGGAGTGAACAAAAAGTTGATGATTCAAGAAAGTAAAAAAAAAATCGGTTTTCTTCTGGCATTGCGTTATTGTCAGACACCCGGAGCCAGATTGGTATGCACTTGTTTATCAGTCGAATTGCGTGGCGTAGCCATTTGGTGAGGGTAAAATAAGACCTTTGATTTACAGGAGAATCCGATTGCCAAAAGGTATAGACAGTAAAATATTCAACGCCACCACTGCATCTAATCAGATCAAGGACAAACGAATATGACCTTTGGTAGTTACGCTTGATGAAGTTTGTATATAGTCGTCTTCTATGCGTACATACGAAATCGTTCCGTTCTCGTCATCTTGCGGATACCAATCTCAAGCTAAACAAGTTCTTGATAATGATTTTCATGACTTCATGTTTCTCGCACCCAATGCTGCAGTGCTACCGACAGAGTGCGATTCGTATATTTTTATTCTACTGTATAAACGATATCCAGCAAAATTGTGTTTTACAGAATCAGAGCTGAGACAGTTGATGAGAAAGTGAAATACAAATAAACAAATCATATTTTAAGCACCGCAAGGTCTGGCAACTCGGTCAACCTGTTTTCTCCCCATGGACATTCACTTTCATTGGTATTCAATGAAGCACGCATAGATATACAAAGCTACTGACTACTGCATATGCCTCTAATGTTATGTGAGTGATATAACGTTATTTGCATTTACTTTGCCTATCAACCGAATGAAGCGTCGATAGTCAGTAAACGCTCTTTTCTTCATTATTTTAAAGCTAATATCTACTTCTAAGAGCCAGTTTATACTTACCACCCCATATTCCAATCTTGAGCTGCTTCTTATCCAGATTCTCCACATATTCGCCGACAAACCGGTTGAGCACATCGGCGACAATGCTCTCGAACACCATCCTGCTGACGTGTTCGACTCACTGTTTATCACCAACAAATCCACTCCTGACCTGAATTGGCAGGAAGATGAACTTGGGTTCAATATGCGAAGCACACTACTAGTACTTCTGTTCTATTTTTACACCCCACTCACCAAGTAAAAACACAGCTGCTTGCGCTGCTTTATCTACACTACGTCTTCCGAATGTATCACTACTTTGCAACAAAAAACAACAGATCTTCCTCGTTAACACAATCGTCTGTAACAATAACAATCTACGTGTCAGCAAAAATCACAAAATATTATCACTATCTACTACACATCACAGAGTCATCATTTTCTCACTACCATCCACCGTTTACTGCATTGATCCGTCATTTTACATGGAGCAAGAAATCAGCACTGATGGCTGATGACATCATTTTAACCCACTTTTTCACCAGCTCAAAACCACCTCCCAAACCGTCAACTTCCAGCTGCTTCCACTTCCGCCGCTTTCGGTGGCTACAGTACGAGCGATTGATCAACAATAACGACGCAAATACGTCCGTTTATCGCACATAATCGCAATTTTTCTAAACTTCTAACCAATGTTTTCACCTTCACCTTCGCCAAAAAGATTGAAAAGAAAAAAATCCTTCTGACACACTGCTGCGCAAACAAACGAATGAAGGAGAGCTTGCTGCTGCACAACAATCACACTACCCGCAAGTGACAGACCGTCGTACGATGGTGGCTGTCAAACGGTTTCATGTGTGCCGTCGTTTTTGTTTTGTTGGTGTGCATTCCGTTGCGTAGTAGCCCAGGAATACGACGGACTTTGAAAACCACGGCTTACATATCCACATGTAAAGCAGTGTTGTTCATAACGCTCGGCGCTGTAAACAAACCCACGATTGTGCCGCGTCCGAGCCGAAGTTTTGTTGATAAGCACCGGTCGACCAATCCGGACGCGGCTTTCGGTAAACAAATAGCCGAACATCCGGCACCGTGTTGCTTGTGTGTGAAGTTCGTGGTTGCATGCGGTTACGAATGAAAAATACTATGGATACCGTTGTGTGCAGGTGTGCGTAGTAGAATCTAAAAATAGTTCTGACACTTCGTTCGACACGACAGTCCGCTGAAAAACGGGATAAACGACTGAATGGTGAATCGTTCATGAAAAAAATCTAATTATATATAAATGAATTTCTGTCTGAATGTCTAACTCTTATAGACTCGGAAACTACTGAACCGATCGGCGTGAAAATTTGTATGCGGGGGTTTTTGGGGCAGGGAAAGATTCTTATGATGGTTTGAGACCCCTCCCTTCTCTGTAAAGGGAGGCTCCCATACAAATGAAACAGAAGTTTCTGCATAACTCGAGAACTAATCAAGCAAATGGAACCAAATTTGGCATGTGTAGGTCATAGGGGGTAGCCCCTTAGATAAGAGGGGGGTGGGGGGCTACGTACAATATAGCATGCTTTTTTTAAATTGGCGCATAAACTCAAGCTAATATTGAATCCCGAGCAAGGTCGGGCACACTCAGCTAGTAAATAATAAAAACTGATCACCCGACCAGATAGGAGGTACCTACTTATCTCGCATGCACGCCTCAATAAAAAACATAAATGAACGATAACCTAAATGATTGAAATATTCCACAAATGGTTTGGATGATACCCCGAACACGTCGTTAAGAAAATTAACCATAACATTTTTATCAGAGAGTGGATACCTAAGAATTATATATCAGGCGTAACATCAAAAGTTGTAAGGTCCTTTACACGTGAACCGAAGTACGCCCACGCAAACCAATACAATTATCGGAAAGGGGAAAATTTCCCCCAGCTGATGATGTTGTTGATTTACGTGGACGTCCTTCGGTTCGCGTGTAAGGGGCCTTACAACTTTTGTTTACAAAAGCTTTTGTGCCGTTATCAAATGTTACGCCTGATATTATTATTTTTCCAATTTAGATTCAATGCTCAAATGCACAGCAAACAAATAAATTTTAACATCACATCAAATATGGTGGAATATTACTTGCCAAAAAGGACAAAATTATTATTAATACAGTGCATGAACTGACATAACGCTGCTTTTGTTTGTTTTTTTTTGGCAATGAAAGTTACATTAGATTTTCGACATGATTGGATGTAATATTAAAATTTATTTTTTGCTGTGTGGCAAAAGTCCCTTCTCGGAGCCAAGAACCAGTTAATAATTTTATAATAATTAAACTGAATTTGAGGAACATTATTTATGAAGAGCTTTTTAGTGGGTTGAGTTATTTCCTAAGGGAACTGGAAGTAAGGCGGACATCCTAAGGATATATTGTTTACCGTTAATAAGTACAGCATTTTGCTGGTTATATCAGTACTGATTCAGTTTTTTTTTGTAGGTAAAACTCATGCTTAAAAAACTACGTACACTAATTTTGGTTAAATCTTAATAAAAAGCACTGTTTTTTGAAAATCGAAAAATGGTCCAAAAAATCGCGGGTGAAATGGACAATCTTGAAAATTCAATGTTTCTATATTATGGAAACTATTGAACTAATTGTGTGATTGTTTGTAGGTCATAATGAGGACCCATGAACGCATTGGCCACGCCTGAGTTTGACCCGGGTACCCTGGAGTAGGAGGCCAATAGAGCCAGATCCGAAACTCAGCATGTGACAAACAATCAACTGTCCGTACACGTATTTTGTCCACTAGGTACTTGTAGACTTCCTCAGTGCCAAGTACTCAAGCACCACTGAAGAAGCCATCTGAAGCAACTTATATACTAACATCTAGGTACTATTTTTACAAAATTTAACAGGCACAGAACCGCAATATCATGTTAACCTATACAAATTCCTATCCTCTTCAGAACTTTCTCTAGTTAAAAATCACACCTGTAAATCGTAAACGTGAATGGACTGAAATTAACTGAAACGTCAAAACATCAAAAAGACCTCCAAATCATTAAACAAGATTAAAATAGCTTACACACTTAGTTTTGTTTTCGCCAGCTTGGCAATTTTTTGCCGAGATTTGGACGGCCGCACTATTTTCCTAAAAATAGTCACTAAACTGACTTTTTCCCATCCAATATACTGCCCATGTTTGCAGAAGCAGTTGGAAGAATTTCTTGCTACGCGCATCGCATCACCGAGCAGGAGTTAAAGGAGACGCCGAAGAGTAAAGCTTGGTACCTACCGCTGAGCTACGTGGTACATCCGAAGAAACCGGGCAAGATGCGGTTGGTCTGGGATGCGGCAGCGAATGTGTCGCTTAACGATAAGCTGTTGAAGGGTCCAGACATGATAACGTTGCTACCAACTGTTATAAGTGGATTCCGCGAGAGAAACGTGGCGTTTGGAGGTGACATTAGGGAAATGTTTCATCAAGCATGGGTTCGTGCAGAAGACCGTTAGGCACAACGGTTTCTATTCGTGGGTCCGAACGTGGAAACGTACGTGATGGATGTGGTTATCTTTTGCTCGACCTGTTCGCCTTGCTCCGCACAGTACGTGAAAAACTTGAACGCGCGGGAACATGCCGAGCAGTATCCGGAGGCTGCCAATGCTATCGTTCGAAAGCACTATGTCGACGACTATTTCGACAGTGTCGATACACTAGAGGAAGCGGTGAGACTAGCGACGGGATGTGCGACATGTACACGCCAACGGTGGGTTCGAGATTCGGAACTGGGTTTCCAAGTCACAGGAAGTGTTACGTCAGCTCGGAGAGGAGAAGTCTGTTTCTGAAACCACTAGAAGTAGACAAGCATTGCTCTACTCATTACACGTTTTCACTGACGCTGGAGATGCGGCATATGGATGTGTGGACTACTTCAGGTTCGAGGACGGCGAAGTCGTTCACTGCGCATTCATCGAGTAGTATCACAGACAAACAGACATAACACTCGCAAGTTGTTCATCGAACAAGCATTTAACGGACAATTTAAAAGTATCGTAGTTGGCAGTACCACCAGCTGTGGTGCGCATAGTTAATTCCATTGCGTTTGACGTTTACACACTACCGCCATCTGTTACGCCGTACTGCCCACCACAGTGTGCTCAACAGATGGCGGTAATGTTTTAGCGACGATGTTTTACAGTGAGAAATATTCAATATGTTATGTCTGTTTGTCTGTGGTAGTATCATGGGTGAAATCGGATCAACGAAGGTATAAGCCGTTCGTTACCTATCGTATTGGCGAGATCCTCAGCATCACGAATCCAGAAGATTGGCGATGGATAGGAACGAAGGACAATCCAGCGGACGATTTGACGAAATGGGGCAAAAGAAAGGAGATCAAGCCGGGAAGCCGATGGTTCCATGGACCGGAGTTTCTGTATCACGGAGTGGAAGAATGGCCGAAGCAAAAGCGTCCAAAGGTGGAAGTTGCCGAAGAGCTCCGGGCGAGCGTGCTGCTGCATAACATCGTGTTACCCAAGGGATTTACGGAGATGTTGCAGCATATTTCGCGTTGGACAGTAATGGTGCGGACCCTAGCAACAGTGTTCCGATTCGTGTCCAACTGCCGGCGACGCGTCAAGAAGCTGCCGATCGAAGCCGTTAGGAAAGGTGTCAAGCAAGGATCAGCGTTCCCCGCCGTAGATGTGCCGTTGCGACAGGAGGAGTACCAGACTACAGAAACAGTTTTGTGGAAGGTGGTTAAGGCAGACGAGTTTGCCGACGAAGTGAGGACCCTGGTGGTGTCACTCGAGAGGTCGAGTAAGCTGTATCGTCTTACGCCGTTTCTGTATGAGGATGGTGTCGTGCGGATGGAAGGTCGTACAGAAGCGGCGTTTGATGCGAGGTTTTCGGTCATTCTGCCGAAGGACCACGTGGTGACCCGAAGGTTGTTGGAACACTACACAGCTAAAAAAAAGTAGTGTAAATTTCCGTTACTATGATGCACATAAATGGAGCGTCATAAATCATACAAATTTACATTATAAATCCTGTAAATTTATGAGACATGTCATGCAATATTCCATATATTGTATGCAACTTTTTACTTTTGTTTGCAACATTTCTTGCAAGCTGCTAGTTTACGTGAAAAGGAAGTTTACATTCATGAATGTTTGTATGCATGGATGTTTACATCACCAGTAAAATTCAGATTTTTTTAGTGTGTACCATCGGAAGCATGGGCACAGCAGCAGAGAAACCATTGTAAACGAAGTTCGGCAGTGATTCTACATTCCGTGTCTCCGAGTGTTAGTAGATCAAGTAATGCGAGCCTGTGTGTGGTGTAAGATCCAGAAGGCGAAGCCAATTGTTCCGAGAATGGCACCCGTACCAGGACAGCGTTTGGTGGTGTGGGTTGATCCGTTTTCTAACGTCGGCATAGACTATTTTGGTCCACTGGAAGTGTCTATTGGCCGAATGAAGGAAAAGCAATGGGTGGCACTTTTCACGTGCCTAACTGTGCGAGCGGTACATTTGGAGGTGGCGTACAACTTGACGACGGAGTCGTGCAAAATAGCGATCAGGAGGTTCGTAAAGCGGCATGGCAGTCCGATCGAGATCCTTTCGGATAACGGTACGAACTTTGTCGGTGCCAGTCGAGATCTGCTGAAGGAAATCAATCTAGCGTGTGCGAATACGTTTACCGGTGCGAGGACCCGTTGGACTTTTAACCCACCGGCTGCCCCACACATGGGGGGTGCGTGGGAGAGAATGGTGCGCTCGGTGAAAGAGGCACTAAAAACGTTC